TCTAATTGATTTTTCTTTGATTAAATGTTGTTCTTAACAATTTGCATTTGTGTTTAAAGTGTGTTCCGTATGTTAAGTGTGTGATTCCAAATGTTATGTGCTTAATCTGTACCATTAATATTAGTGAGTAATGTGGTGCATGGATTTCATAACCGTTATTTTACTAGATACCGTTGTATTTAACCACAACGGGCTTTGTTACTAGTATACAATATTTGGAATATATAGTCAAAATATCAAATCAATTTGTTGCTCCTTTTATTTTTAAGTGTTTTTATTTTATTATAAATAACTTAAATATTTAAATAGGTATGGGTAAATGCATAATTAGTAAAAGGGAGTGATGTAACATAACTGCTTAGTAAGATAATTATATTATACAAGTTCTAAAGATTTTTGAACGGTGCAATATTATATACATTTAAATATAATTCTGTTTTAACTAACTTGAGCAATATAAGACATTACAATAGATGCAGTTTACAAAACGTGGTGGTCTTTCACGCTCTACTTACTCTCTTATCTCACACATTCCTCTTCTACTGTGTTATCAGGTGAGGTTAATCGTTTCACTGTTATTTTTATGTTCTTTTTATCATACTTTGTGTACCGTTACAAACTCACAAATCAGATAACAATTTTACACAGTTTTATGAAGCTGTACTCGAAGATTCCTACGAGTACTGGTAAAAACGTAATGCAATGCAATATATTCTAGCTGAACAAATTAATACGGACACATTAAATTAAATTAATAAATTTGCACGGACAAATGATATTTTAGAAAATTATCTCTTTCTTAGTACTTATGCTAATGCTTGATTTGGACTGTGAAGCCTGATTCAACCAGAACTGATTTTATAAACTCAATCAGAATCATTGTACCTAAAAGTTGCTCACAAAACTTTCTTTCGAAGTTTCAAAGTTGTCTACGCTAGAAGGAGAATCATGAAACAACAAACCTAGTAAAGTTGCTATAGTGGTCAGCGCTACTATGGTCATACAATCCATCCTATTCCACCAAGATTAAAATAACACCTCTGTCACAGCAAATCCGCAGGATGAGAAAATTCCAATTTGTTTAATTATACTTTCACTAAAATACACCATAAAAATGTCATATTTATTAACAACTTAATAACAGTATATTAGCGAGTACATACTTTGTGTTGCTGCTTCAGAAAAGGTAGTACGAGTTTTTTGTTAATTTAAAATGTTAATAGTTTAGTATGAAATTAAGTATAACATTTTTTAATTTGATCAAAATATTTTCATGACCAAACAATAACAGTTTAGTTATATTCTGTAAGAATAACATAAAGTTTTAAAATTTACCGATTTTTTCATTAAGCGCTTGATGCCGTTTCAACAAAATAATTTTTATTTTTAATATCTACATATTGTTATGGAAAGGAATTTCAACATTTCGTGTTTTAATGGTCAACATTTGGGCAAAACCAATTTTTACCCAATAATCCTCTGTTCCCATAGTCCAATAAAAAAAGTACAGAATAAAGATAACAGAACCAAGACTTAAAAAAGGCAAATAACACATAATTCACTATAAAATACGCAAAATGTGACGTACGCAATTACTAATTTTCACCGACAGATAACTACTATTATTAAAAATCTTAATTAAATAAATAGTTCAGGTTTACGGTAATATTTTCTTAAGTGTAAACATTTGTTTGAAGTTGTAATTCTGATTTGTTTATTAAAATAGTGTTATATGAAGATGTATTCATGGTTGTATTTTAAATTACGTTTTTCCTCAGTGGATTTCCGAAATTTTCCAAATGTATTTCCCATTATAAAAACAATACATCCGAGCAGAATGAAATTTGGGTTATGGAGAAAATCTAGCATTACTTTTTATATATCTTATGTTAGATAAAGAATTTATTTTCCTCTATAATGAGTAGTGGCTATATTTATGAGCCCATACTACAAACTGTATCTTTATTTGCAATACGATTAATTGTCTAACTTAACATGCTAGGAATTGATGAAGATTACTCTTGATTTAAACTTGTTTTAAGGGGAAATAAAAATATAATAGTTTTTATTTGGGGTTTTAGCGAAATAACTAAGAGAAAAGAGCCACGCTTTGACACAAAGGACATCATAAATCCTGTTGAAGACCATTAATTATACAAAACTTCTCACAAGGCTTCATTACTTGGGCTTTTGTAAAAGTGAGACCACTGAAACAATTGCCTTAAAACACACGAAACTATTCTATATTGTTTAAGTTATTCTCACTCCAGACCATTTTACATCGGTATTGACACGTTGTTTTATATGTATTGAATTACATATCCTCTACAACTAAATAATTTTATTGATGAACAAAATTAAGTAAAAAACGTGTTGGTGTGACATTTGAACACAATAAAGAATCATTTAAACGACTAGGAAACAACCCAACTTTAAATTATGTTACAATAAAACAAATACTTTCAACCATTCGCTAAATTAGCATTTTTATTAAAAGTAGTTTGAAAAAAAAAACATAACTTTACAATTACACCTCTTAACCTGAAGTTATGTATGGTAAAAATAAGCACTGTCAAGTATTTTATAGAACTCTAATAAATTGTCGTTGCGATGGGATCTAACATGGGAGTAACATTTCTATTTCACGGGGGTTGGTCGACTGATGTTCCTGGCTGCCTTATTTACAACTCAAAACAGTGTTAGAAACATTAGCAAATGAATTACGTGTATATTTAGAGATAGTTTCAGTAGTGTATACTTTCATAGACAACGTAGGTAGCTTTAAGTATTGCGTTACAATATTAAAAAAAATTACAATATTAAAAATATTAACAAAATTTAAATGCACATTGCTAATGTACGTTGAAAGTGTTAGGGGAACCGATTAAAAATGTTAAAATGCATATTAAATGTGAAATTTCATGCTGACCGTTTTCTACTTACGTTGCAGCTGTAATCATTTTATAAAATAATAACAATTTTCAACTGTGTCCAACTGACAGAAAAACATGTTCCTAAAAAAGTTACCTGACAAAGGTACTTTCATGCACTGATTATAGTACGCAAAGAACTAGAAATCCATGATGTACTCTACAACAAATTACGAGAAGCGGAACTAGCTGGCTCCAGATTGACGTTACTCCTGCATTTATATACTATTTCGCATTCATTTTATTTTTTCCCTTATTTTTTGTCGCACTCATTTTACTTCCCCACACTCCAGTATTCCAACCAATAAAAACAAAATAGTTTCTACACAAAAGCAAAATTGATATTTGCTTTTAAATTTTGCTATGTATATTATAAATATTAAATTGTAAACCTTTTAAGCCTATAACAAGAAAACTGTAAATACGAAAAGACAACTGTAAATATTTTGTAAAATTTGGTTTATAAAGGTTATAATTTACCTTTTATGTTCCAGGATATATTATTTTGAATTGTGTGTTAAATTAATAATAAGAATGCTAATAAAGTTAATAAAGTACTAATAAGTTTTTTTTTATACGAACCAAAAATACACAAAAAGTACATTTATATATCCATACAGTTCCGGTTCATATACTTGTATATTAGCGTGTATATAAATGGTGCTCAGAACAAATAACAACACAATCCTACAACAAAAGACCCCGGGCTGAAAACACCGCTAACATGAGTAAGGGGATTTGTTTTGTTGGTACGTTTCGACTGATATCTTCCTTCTAAGAACTTTTAATTCGACGAATTATAACTGTTGTTCGATTGTGTGCAATACTCATTATGTTCCTACTATCGTAAATCAACGCTGAGAATTGTGTTCAATGTACAAAAACTCAAAGTGGTTAAATACAGTTAAATAAGCACACCAATCCGCTGTAATGTAATGCATTATTAAACAGACTCTTTTATTTGCCTAGTTATTAGTAGAATCGATCCACAAACCTTTTGTGTTGTATTTGCACCGAATTTTAATTGGAAATCTATATTATTTGAAGTATTATTTGAGGGAAAATCATTAAAGAATGATGATCATAAATATTATATACACAAATTGGTCTGAAAACACTCACCCGTGTATGATAGCTTCATATAACTACAATTGGCAGTATCAGTTCAAAAATTGAAGACACCTACTATATTTACTATACAAGGATAATTACGAAATTTAAGATAATAATACCCCATAGTATAGACAAATTTTGATTATTTATAGTTTTATTATTTTTAAAACAAGTAAAAAATGTATGAATAGTTGCTATCACCAATTAAATCTACTATCAATATTTCAAGCACAAAATACATACGTTACATTTAGCTGGAAATTTTAAAGACCATCAATAACATAAAGTTCAATTATCTATCCCCTGTGGAACATACATGCAGTATCTGTTTATTCAGAAAATTCAACCGAGTCAAAACTAATATTGGCATTTAACAACACAAAATACACAATTTGTTAGCCTGGTCATAAAGCTAACCACTATTAGAAAATTGCATTGTGAAAACTAAATGAAATTATCGCATCTCTTTCAACAATAGTTTGTGGTAACTCTTATTGTCTATTGGCTCAGTTGCCTAAATGATTTATTTGTTTCAGAAAGTGTATCGCATATACAGGTCGTTTTCCAACACTCTACCAACCTTTTTAGGTCTTATTTCTGGGTTAATATAACAAAATTTAACTATCACATTTCAATCATATGTAAATGGTTACTTACAGAGCCACTATTTTGTATATTTCAAACAGATTTTCTTAAATAACTCTGATAGAGCTTTACAATGTTGCAACAATCTTACAAATACTAATAATATCAAACCTATAATGTAAATTTATTTTTTTAATTCATGTGTGTTTATTAACATTATTAATATTTTGTTTATTTTTGTAAAGAATCCGACCAATTATTATTTTTGTTACGTCTACAGATTGTTATTTATGTGACTCTAGTATAAGCTTCACTATAACTGTTATTCGGATTTACCCTAAAACAATTATGTTGGACGTTATACAATGCAAATTAGAATGTAGTATGTTTATATTTTTAACTTTTATTTTAAAATTACAGTATCTCTGGTCTTTCGTTGATGACGTTTGCAGCAGCGAAGACAAGGTTCATGAAGGTCATAAAGGTCTCAGTGTCGGTCTGTTGAGGGTCGACTTCCTCGTCGTCCTCTGAGTCGGAGTCCTCCGAAGGACGGCACTTGTCACAGCAGCAGAGGACGGGTCGCTGATACACCACTACAGATGGCTGCTGCTGAGGGGTAGAGGACTGGTTTGAGGACGGAGGACCCGGGTATAGGCCAGACGCCCAAGGAAGCCTGCAGGTAATCGAATATTTTTAAAATAGCTATTAAGTTGGTTATATTTTATTGTCTAACTTTTTTGGAATAATTTAATTGCATACACTAATTGAAAAGAATAATATCCAGGATCCTTTATTCCTTACCTAAATAATACATAGTAGAGTAAACGTGACCAAAATCTAATAAATAATGGGAATTCTAATTACCAGTTATGTCTTTGATGTTGTTATTCATATGTAAATCTCGTGGCTTAGAAAACTATTTGGCGTGTACCTATATAATCACGGTGATTTACAGCCTTATTAAATCAAAAATATTTTAGCTTAATTAAATATCAGTATAAATATTTAAACTTGTAATTAGTTGTGGCAATGACCAGGCAAAAAAGCTCAACAGGTTGTTGTTTGAAATAATATTCATCTCCCGCAACTAAAAAAACTTGATCTTATTTCATATTCTAATATTTAAGTCTCACCCCTGAGGTCGTGCTTTAGCTCGTTGGACAATGCAGAAGGGATGTTTACATGGCTCCTCTTTGTCTCCACCCTTCCTCTTCTTCTTTGACTTCTTCTTGCTGCAGTGCGTCTCCGGGCAAGGGCTGACAGGACAGTCTGTAGACCCTGTGGACGGCCTCCCCTGGTACATCATGGGGTTGTACCCCCCTGGATATGGCATCATTCCCATCATGCCACAAGGGTTCTGCATTCCAGGACATATGATGATCCTCTCTATTATTTTCTCAGTCACTTTTCCGTCCTTTATTATAGACCCTTCCCGTGACTCTGGCTGGAAAAAAGGAATTCATTAATTATTAGTTTGTGTTCGTTGCAGAAAATCACATTAATCTGGAAGTAACTTATACAAATATTAACAAATATTAGCCTGGATAATTTTTACCCTTTCTAGTTATACTTTGATGATTTAATGAATAAATACAATTTAGTAAATTTTACATTTTAACAGGATATTTTCTTATCGGGTAAATAGTTGTCCTTCAAGTGCCACTAATTATTGTATTATTTCTGCAATAAATAAAAAATTGGATATTTTAAAAGCTAAATGAAAAATAAATACTTAAGAGAAAAATCCAAAGTGATCCATTAACTAAGACTGTTTTCCTTTTTAACATATTATAGTCTGTAAACTGTGGACATAATAACTTACATATCGGCAACAGGAACGGGATATCCACATTACATCTATCGGCTTTTTACCAATAAAAATATCACGTTTGTAGACAACAGATATTGAACGTGATTTGAATGTCAAACTTTCTTTACCAGGTAATGTGTCAGGTTGGTTCTGATATACATTCCGCATTGAAGCTTCTGTTACCCTTATTGCCCAGAAAAAACTTATCGCAACCGGAAAACCCTGACTGGTTGTGCGTATACGGATCGTGATTTGACAACTAAATACTTCCCATGTTATTTTATGGTGCCCTCACTTGACAACAGGCTGGTCAACATACAAGTCATTATTTATTATTCTTGTCTACTAACTAGATACAAGATCCTCTATTTTAGACAGGCTTTAGCGATATTATCTGTATGTCTAAGCTAGGCTGAAATGAGCCTGAGAAGAAAATATAACAGCGAAAAACAATAATTACATGTTAACGTATAGTGTCTTTAGGGATTACCTCAAGGACTTTTGCAGCAGGTTCTTCTGTTTTCTCTGGCTCTGGCTCAGGGATTGGCTCCGGTGGGGGAGGGGGCGGGGGCTCCGCTGCTGCTCCTCTGGCTCGTCTTGCTGCCATGGTACTTGCTATAACATGTATAGTAGTCATTTGTGTGAAAATTGTTAGGCAATTACTGTAATTATTACCAACAAATTCGTTCATTAAATTTTACAATTTTTTAAAGGGGTTGGCTTTTAGGAATTTCTATAAGGACTAAATTAGAAAATGGAGAAGGTCTGGTTTTCAATACTAAGATGGAAAACATTAGAGAACGGGTCCTGTTGCCTTAGACATAATTTTATTATTTTATCGCAATCAAAATAAATAAAAACCAATGAATGATTGGGTATTCCTTTTACATACCCTTCGGTATTTATAAAATGAAGATTTTAGTTTTGTTGTGTAAGAACATATTTTATGAACCGACAAAATGGTTCAATGTAAATTACTGCAATAGTCTATGAGATTTGTCGACTAATTACTAACATCAATACAATGTTTAGTTAAGGCTGGACATAATTTATTGATGGGTATTAATCATTGTATTTTCTAGTATGTAGAAGGGTTTAACACAAAAATACCCTGTGTTTTAAACTATAAGATTTTGTAAAATGGTTAACATACTTACGAATTTAGATCGTGAACTTGAAATAGTATTTGACTGGAATTTGTTTTAGTTAATTTTTACTATATCATATTTCCATGGTAACTAATATATTTCTTCGATCAATAAACACTGAACGCTATTGAATCGTGTTTTATTTGATCTATTTCATGCTGCACATGTAGATTGAAAATTCAGGAAAACGTGTAGAAAAAATATAATTGTATTTTTAGTTACATGATTTCCACCTAACCGGGATGTGTCGGGAATTGAACGGATGTAATTTGTTCGGATACAAAGAAACCTTCCCCAGTCGTCCACAAAGAGAGCATTAAATTGGTTATCCTTTGTTGCACTTGCTTTTTTTGTAAACCGGACGTTATTTACTATGAACACACTACCAAAATAGAATAATTGGAATACAATGTGTTTTCTGAAAGCCGGAGCTTTGGACCTTCTCTTGTTATTAGATACTAATAATGTTATTTTGCCTTTTGTAAGGCAAAAACATGTACATTTTGTTTATTAATATTTTGATCGAAACGTCGTTAAACCATTAAGATTAAATCTTGATATAAGCTTCGACATAACACGTTTTCATGTTTCTGAAACCATTAATAAAACCACCAGCGAGTTTTCAGTCACTAGTTGTTTACCTCGCCCAAGGCAGGCAGTATTGATGAGATGGTATACTTATTATTGCTTCTCAGACCCACTACGGATATCCGCACTGCTCTTTATATCACCGCCCAGGGACATTTATTTTATTCACTTCTTCGGTCATGATCTAAATCTTGCTTACTTGCAATATTTGAAGGGTCTTATACTAAGGAGGCATTTCTGAACTAAATCATTTAAAGTCAATTCGTTTAATACTATTTCTTTGAATAAAAAGCGATTAGAATATATCTGTATCAAATATAAAAAAAAAATACTTAGGCAAATCTTTTCGTGTGTAACCTATTTAGTTGAAAAAGTTTTAGCTTAAATTAACCGAATATTATTGCAAAATAACATACCATTTTCAGATATTGGCTTATGACTATTATCCAGTATGTAATAAATCTAGGTTATTCATTTATAACGTAATATTATCCAACGCAGCTATTTATTGGAATTTTCACACACATTGCACTTAAAAGGCTTGATTAAATTTTTAATACCTTTAGTTTACTATTTAAAAGGGCCCTTTCTGGAAACCCTGGGTTATACCATCGATTATGTTATACAAACAGTGGCTTACATAACGCAGGGTTGACGCAATGCGATCTTCCTGGATTGTTTCGACGAAATATTCATTAGAAAAGTTACGGAATAACCAGATGGGCAACTTTATAAAACATTGTCATGCATTTCATAGCCTATGAATATAGTATGCAATTTTCTTCGTGTCACTTGTGCAAAGGCCTTGTCAAGATATAAGAAAGAATTAATTTCAAATATAATTTCAGCAAAATCAGTCTTAGAATCTATGAGAGTCCATGAACGTTCCATTGTCATTATTTAAAAATTTAAATTAAGAATTACGATGACTTGGTTGAATTTAAATATTTTTAAGGGTAAAAAATTTTGAAATCATCATGGGTGTTGGAATCGAATGTACGATTACTTATGTATAGTAAACAAACTAATTTAGAACTTTAAGTAACATGACAGCTCAGTGCCATAAATAATTGGAAACTTGATTCAAAGCCATGTGTTGGGCAAAGTTCAAATATAATAAAAGAATAAATAATTTTAGTTTACAGTAAGATGGAATATATGTATATAGAACCTTTTAAGTTGTTGGTTGTTCTCCACTGTGTTCCGCCTATGACACCTCCACTCCACACCTCCCCCAGGTATGTTCCGTGGTTCGAAGGATGCACAACAATATATACTTCCTCGAATCACAATTAAAATACCCCCGCCGCAGCAAACCTGCCGACTAAGCGAATTTCCATTTGTCTGAATTCATTTTCAGTTAAATATATTTTTTTATTAACATTAGGTTTAACGAGTACCTAGGTTTGCTGCTACAAGAAAACTAATAAAGTGTGTTTTTGAGTAAAATATTGATAGCTTAGTACAAAATAAATAAATTTGCCAAGTTTGATCAAAATATATCCATAAGAAAGCTAACTACAACATTTGACAATATTCTCCATAAGAATAACATGGGAATTTTAAATTTACAATTTTTTTAATTTTCCCCGTTACTAATTATCGAACAAAAATGCTTTTACTTACTAAATTATTTGTTTTTTAAAGCTCTTTAAAAAGGTCTAAAGAGAAATCGGGAAATTTTGTGTTTTGAGGGTCAAAAGTGAGAAAAACCAATTTTTACCCCATAAAACCCCCCGTAAAGCCCCGTTCCCATGGTCCGATCGTGCTGGTTCGCGAACTCATTCAAGTTTATCCCGCTTTACACCTTTAAACCAAATTTCATCAAAATCGGACAAAAATTACTCAAGTTATCGCGTTCACGGACGTATATATATATATATATGTATATATATATATATATATATATATATATATATACACGGCCGCGCCCGGGAAGCCAGTCACATAAAATATACACTGGAAGTCAGTCAGTTGCACCCCCCAATATATTTCAAGACTATGATATATATATTATATATATTGGTAAATATCTTAAGCCTAGACATATCTGAACGTATATATCTCTTTTTTTCTTAAAAATACTAAAATATAATTACGTAAAAACTGCTATGCTAATGCAGTCACCACCGCATTTGCACGGGAAAGCCAGTCACGTAAAATTTGTGCTGCTAAGCCAGTCACTATATATTTTACCGCATACCACTGGAATCCAGTCACTGAAAATCCACCGGGTATCCTGTCACTTCAGTCACTTTCACCCCTGCCCTTCTACTTTGTGATATTTATTTGTTCTACAAGCTTGAAAATTCGCACCTCAAACAAACGGATTATGCTTCAGGAATTGAGCACTCTCATAACCCATCTTTCGCACTTCATTTTAATTAGTTGTCTTCCAGATTACTTAACAATTACTATTCTACAGATTAAATACCTAAATGTCAATGTAATCTTTGGTCGTCTTAATAGTCGTCCTGGCAACTGTGGATACAAATATGTACCGAACTAATTCGCAAGCGCAAGGTGGGAAGTTATTGCTTCATAGTCGCACAATTAGGCCTATTGTTGAGTCCTTGGAGGCAAGCGGCCATCTTGGATTATTTTAAATAGCTGCAAAATTTATCGTCCAATAATATTTTTCAAACACCAAAGTGTTTATAATTTAAGTAGCCAGTATACTGTGGGATTAGAAAATGTTCTTTGTAGTTTTGAATTATTCTCCAAGGGAGTCCATAAAATAAGTTAACGGTCCCGGTCATCTTGGAAAAAGGCCAAGTAATACGAAAACAATATCTTGTGTTGCACGGGCCGTAGCACACAAATAGTTTTCCCGCCTCAAACAATCAAAGGCGCGTGGAACAAGGCAACATTCTTGTCTCTCTTGCGGCGAGAGGTCGGGGCGGGCCTAACGGGTTCCATTGATGGGCTACCCGGCTACCGACCGACCTGGGGTAGCGACTAGCGAGCCAGTGGATGGTTAAAGGTTCTGCCGGTTATTTCCATCTTATTGCTGGTTCTCGAGCTTTTTGAGCTCGTTGTACAGTGAAATCTTACTTCCCTATTTTATATAGCCACAATCAAAGCGATTTTTACAAGAAAGAATGAAGATATAGACTCAGTGATGTGTGTGGTTACTTAATTAAATCATTTCCCTTGATTGTTTACCCTTTTGTAAGAGCCAATAATCAATCAACTTATATTTCTTTATTTATCGATTTATTATCTATATCAATTCAAGAGGTAGCCCTGTACCTGGTTAACAAATATACCGATTACATTTACTGTGTTTTCTTTGAGTTACGCCTCATGGGATTCCAAAGTTTCACAATGTTTACATTTTTGAAGAATATAGATAACAGAATGTTTAACGAAGTCAGCTGTAAATGCTGTCAATGCAGTGCTTTGATTTTGCGGTCCAAAAGGTAGAAACGATTCGATTTGTGAAACTTTTAACTTTTGCTACGGGCCTGTTAATTGGAGATTGTGACTTTCTTAATTTAAGGATGTAAACGTTTTAACATGACGTGTTTAGAGTGGGATTTGAAATATGTGACGTGTATCAAACTTTTTCTCTTCAAAATACTCTCCGATGTAAAACACAGGTACGGCAGCTAGGTTTATTAGAATTCAAAAGTTTTTTAATTGTCCTCCAATGTTTAGAAATTATTTTTCGATCAAGTTGTTTAATGAATAAATAATTGTTTTGCCAAATTATGTTTCGAAACCAGGAACTAAAAATAGATCAGGAAATAGATATTTTAGTTTAGAAAACAAAGCCAATCAAATAGGCCTACGTACTTTTTAAATAAAAACACTGGTCGGATGGTTTTTAACTTAGCTGTTTATTACTTCAATAAATTTCTAATAAAAATCACCACAGGTACTAATCTATATAAATAAAATTAGAGTTTTGTCTGTACATTGCTCAGAATCATCAATTTTTAGATTATTTTTACGTTTTAAGCATTCAAGAATCCGAAAAAAGTTTCATCTCAATTCCGTTATTATCTCAATCATCAATTATTATCTCAATTCGGTTGTTGTCTATCTTCCGTCTGTCACGGTCCAAAGGCCATTTTACGCGGCCTTCTCCTGAAAAACGAGAGTACCTATCACAGATCCCCGAATCATTTTAATGTATTCACTGGATTGGCGAAAGTGTCTTTAGCTATTAAAATATGGCCTCACTACTTTGTAAAAAAACTTACGGACGTTTAAAACCCAATTTTGTGCGTTTTTGTCAAGTTTTCTCACAATGTTTATCACATAATCATCATATGAAATAGTGAACAGCTGTTCGGATCAAGATTATTTTTCTCTAACTGTCACTGATATGTTTACATTGAATATTGTTTACAAATACCGCAATCATTTCAGATCAAGTTTCAAAAGCAAATCCAAACCAAGTTGGATTAAAACCGTTTTTCCTTACATAACGGATTTAATTAATCGCAAGTGCAATAATGTGTAGGGTAACCGTAAATGAAAATAGAGCTTCTTTGTGTATAC